CCGTCTACTTGCTCGAATGGGAATATTTACTCGGTTGTTTCCCACCATCGCCTCGCTTTGAGACTGCTGAAATATTCATGAGCGAACTAGCCGAACGAGCGTGTCGGACGCGCACTCCGAACGAATCCGCAGACTCCGCGCTTCTTCCCTTTCCATCCATATCGACTCTTTGACCTCAGCACCATTCTGCATAACGGTGCATCGGCCTGGACGTTTGCCTATTATGTCACTACATTCGTATAAGGATGTTGTATATGCCATAAGTTCAAACCCAAACAGAAGTTCCGCGAATTTTTCCGCGGCGACGATCAATCTTCGCGGTGAGAAAAGTACGATTCGCGTCCTGACGATTCGCGACTTGATGAGATCTCAGCCGCAAGTTTTACTTGCGCGCGTGTCCCATAAATATAAGAAAAATATAGGCAGCGAACGAAGGATATTAAATTGAAGAGATTTCGCGTTCTCTTTGAAATGCACATATAAAAGAGAAAGACGGTACAAAATGATAATCGTGCGTATATTCCACAAAATCTTAGAAAGCGGTATTTGAATCACGCGCGTTTATATAAATTGGAATGTTTCTCGAAACAAGTCTATCGCCTGTCGTTATCGTTTACCGTCATCATCGCGATATCTCCGTACGCGCAATAACGTTATCGCTGCAGGATTAATTTAATCCTGCGTATCAATGAAACGCAGACGACGTAGTACATGCGATACATTGTCGAACATTCGCAGACGCAGTCGTAGTCCGCAATTATTTCTGTAATACGTAGGAGTATCGTTTTTCCTGAGCCTCGTGCGTGCGATAATTCTATACCAGGTCATATTATTTGCGATTCGTTCCATGTGAGGAGAATTTCTGTGTTTGCATCGTCATGCTGTCTCTGATGTTCGCTGCATCCGTGCACTCCGCTTTTACCACCGACTAATTGCCATTAATTACTGGACACGATTACACGGGAGAAAGAACAGCCATCGTGCCTAGATGAAGGTAACAAAATCGTGAAGATTTTAATTTTTTTTACATAAAAAATCTCTGTATTTCTGCATTCCTACATTTTATAGTGATCAAACGTACATTGATGTTGGATATAAATTTTCATAGCGTATTTAAACTTTATAAATAAATTCGATTCCTATATACTGAAACGTGTGAGAGACATGGGAAAGTAGAAGGCAATAACGACGACGATAATCAGACAGAAGAAGTGGAAGAGATGATCGAAACATTTAGGATCGACAAAAATGTATACGTATTCGTGTTACTCGCGTGCCGATCGGTGCTCACCGTTAGATACGCATTTACGATCTTATTTATGCGTCTGCTTATACACACGTCGCAGGCAGCACGTATACGTATGCGCCGGGCACGTAATATATGTCGTCGGCCCAATCGAAATGCCACCCCATGTTCTATTCACTCCTCTTTTACTATCGAGAGTCTCCTAACCCAACAAATAAACCTGCTGTCTGGAAATGATCTCAACCTGCTCGTTTTCATTCTCGCTTTCTTTAACAAGCTTTTTAACTCTGATTGATCTGATTCTGCCAATTACCTTCAATTAATTTTAGCAATTTAATAATAATCTTTAATATTTTTATAACAAGAAACAGTACAAAAGATTCCACGATATGATAATTTTTCATTAGAAACATATAGCTGTTAAATATTAAACGATGAAATTTAAGCCAATAGCCCTTGAGTGAAATAATATTTTATTATATTTAACTACCTTGTGTGTCAAAATTTATTACTCTAACACAAAACAGTATTATTTTAACTTTATCGGTTTAGTTAAATTAACGACATATATTTTTTAGTAGTAGTGGCGACCTATAGGAATGATAAAAAATGAATCAAATTGAATATAATTTGATACTACAAATTTGACAGTGCACTTGACTATATATAACGAGATAAAAGGCAAATTTCTTCGTGCGCGTTAAGTGCTCCCTTTAATATTTTACGTGCCATGCGTTCACACATTTTTACGGAATACGTTTCGTCTTATAAACAGGATAGTACCAGCATGGATATAACTTCCATTTATATCGCGAGGTCATCCCGCTCGAAATCCACTCGTGTTCCTTAACGAAGGAGCGTGAAGATACTGAAGGTAATTAAGAAAGCCCGTGTGTCGCGGATTGCAAATTACAGGGAAAAACTTGGCGCATCGCGCGAAGTTTCCGTATAATAGTCCCGCGATGGGGGATGTTTATGCCCTTGACATGCACGGCGCGCGCGAAAAGGAAAATGAAACGCGCTCCGCACGTTAACGGCGCGGCTCATACAGGGGTTTCTTCGGGTTTATGCGCTTGCACCACCTTCCCTCTCTCGCTCATTTTTTTTCCCCCTCGCGCGACGACGCCCAGTCTCTTCCACCCTCTGTATAGTCGGTAGTGATTAACACACGAAGCGGATGGTGCCCTTACCGGCGATTGCCCGCGCGGAGAAAAATGACGCGAGCGAGCGCGCGCAGCAGCGCGTGGACGACCCCTGACAAAAAGGAAAGAAGGAAATGCACTTGTACCCCCCCTTGTATAATGCCAAATTGCACGGCCTCTCGGAAATTCGTCGCGTCGATATAAAGTGTATAGCTCCCGTCGGATATTAGCTTGAAACGGCGCAACGTCACGCTACACGCGAGAATTTTTATTCGCTATTTAGCCAAAACGATGATATCGTGGAAGAGATTTTTTTTATACGTTGGAAGTAATAACGCGCGGCGTCGTTTGATGTTATACAAAGGGATTCCAAATTGAATATTTCTCGTAACATTTCAGTAAACATGACACTGTTAAATTCACAGTGTCAAATTATACTCAACTCGAGTCATTTTTAACCATTTTTATAGATCGCCGCTGCTCCTATTCAATATGTTGTTAATTTAACTATATGCCAATGGAGTTGAAATAATAAATTTCAACACACATGGTATAGTTGAAAATAACAAAATGTTATTTAACTCAAAGGATTAGTTAAAATTTTACCCTTTAATATTTAACTGGAAAGTAATACGAGAATTTTTATCCGCTATTTAGTTACCGAACGATATCGTGAAAAAGATTTTTTTTTATACTCGGAAGTAATAACGAGCGGTGTCGTTTGATCGTTTATACGAAAGGGTTGCAAATTGAAAACTTCTCGTAACATTTCAGTAAGGTAATACGTTAAAAGCGTATGAGCGGTCGCTTTTCTTTTTCATCCGGCGTTTTATTTCATCCCGTTCTCGCATTATTCCGGCGGTATATTCGCGAATTGTTTTCTTATATTTCTTCCCGACATTTATATGTACCGTTGTTCGCCGCACGATTGAACACGATCATTTCACTTCGCTACCGTATTATCGATATTAAACCGCCGAACCTGCGTTCATTGAACGTCACCACGCTTTATTACAGTGGATCATCGGACCGTGACGGCTGATCGATGATGCGGTCGGTGATGCAATTGAAAGTACGATCGCACCGATCCTCGATCTACGCGTATAAACGTGTAGCGTAAAAAAAACGAAAAAAAAACGTGGAAGCTTAATGACGATTTACGCATCGTGTAATTCGAAAGCCTTACAGCAAACAGCCTCGATCAATACTTTCTTGCGTTTGTCCGAAGTTAATATTGACCGAACACTCCGATACGAGACTTCGAATTTGCATGATTCGCAATGTAAATTCAATAAGAGTGACTTGTAAATATTTGCAATAACTTCCTCGAGCTCTCTCGGACGTTACCGGATTAAAAACTGTCGCCTTAATACATCATATTCGCTATATTTAAGGCGATACATCCCGTGTAATAAAAGCTCCTGAAACTAACCATCTGTCTCGTTGCCCAGAGCCCGAAGAAAAAGAATGCAAGCGGAGCCAGGCGTAATAAAGATAAAAAGGAAGAGGGAAGAAAAAATGAAATGAAATGAACAAGAACGGAGCGAGACGGAAAGCGGGAACGGAGGGGAGGTACGAGCCCGGCGTGGCCGAAGAGGCGGAAAGTCAATATTACGCGCGATGGGATATACGTCGGAATTATTACTGTATTAAAATTTATCGGATATCGGAGGTGCGTCTGGGTAAACTTAATTCATCGTTTATGGGTTTCCGATATACCCGCGCGCGTTTCGCAACGAAATCGCAACGAGATCGCGGACGAGATGGTTGCAATGGCGAACGAGCGAGGGGAGGAAGCTTTTTCCGCTCGCTCGAGATTTCAAGCTCCGATCGTCGCGCGAGGGTCACGTGCGTCTGACGACCGTCGAAATTCGATGAAATTTTCGAAGCGAGACGAATCGGAGATTAATGCCCCGCCTCGAATAACACGTTCCTCGCCTCGCACGCATTTAGTTCGCGCAGAAAAGGAGAAACTCTCGCGAATGGATTTTTATATATCCCCCCTAGGTCACATATTAAGAGAATTTCGAATTAAGAATTATGCCGGCAAGTCTAACCGGCAAAATTTTACGTGTATACTAAAACAAGAGTATCTTTGTACAAACAACGTGATGAACATGTGAAACGTATAGGTGCAACAGGAAGCGTACGTGACGTTTGCGTTGACTACGCTTCGAACGTGCTTTAGAGAGATACATATAATGCGGGGAACGTTACTCGAACTGTCAATATCGAAGAAAATTCTGAGACTATTGTTACTATTGTTAGTAATGCGGGACACATAAAACATTTGGAAGAGTCATGTTTTTAATAAACTCATCTTATTCTGAGCATTTATGACTAATAAATTGATTTTATCCTGTTATTATTTTTATAAATTACTCTCACATACGAGAATTTTATTTATATACGTATATATAGGAAGGAAACAACTTGCAATAAAGTTTTATTGAAATTCTTCACTCGGTATATATGCAAAATGCGTCAATATTTGAGTAAATTAAAGTAATACTTTAACAAAATGGATTGAAAGGTAATCTTACTTTGAATTAAAAGATAATCTTCATCAAAAGATAGTCTCAAAAATTAAATAAATTAAAAGGAAATCTTACCTAAATTCTTTGCACATATTTTTCAACGATTTACGAAAACTCACAACGATAACGATATACTGTATTAGTGCGTTACAGCGAAAATGATTTTCGAAGTGATATGTTTGTAGAATTTGCACGACACCGAAGTACTGAATCGACACGAATCCGACGTAAACGAAACGAGCGCGCGACGACGACTGGACTCCGCTGAAACCGGACGAGTACCAGAGCGAGTACCAGAGCGAGTGGAGCCGCACGAAGTACGTCGGTGAGTACCGAAGGTGGCCGAAGTTTCATTTGAAAAGCTGATTGTCGCGAGCGATGCCACGAGTCTTTCGTTTGTAAACCGGGCCCAAATAAGCGCTATGTAATAACGTCTCCCTGTTTTTTAACCCTTTAAATGCGCAATTTTTCATAACATTCTGAGTATTTTTTTTTTAAATTAAATAATGACTGCTTAAGAAATCCTAAAGACATTTAAAAAACTCTTCGTTACTGATTTGAACTCCTTCAAGGGGCGGGGGAACCCAGAAGAACCTTTCCATTCAAAAGGGAAAGAAAGGCCAGAGAAAGTTCTTTATAGATGTGCAAAGCCGGGCGTTTTCAGTTCGAACTTCATAAAGGAGAATACACAGAACATCGAAAAGTCGCTTTGTATATGCAAAGCTGTGCACTTATAAAGGATTAATTACTAATATATAAATTTATATATCGGTAAAAAATTTTCCACATACAAATATGTCGTATATAAATATATATAATTATATATAAAATATGTCGTCAGTCATATCGATTATCCAAAGTGAAGACACACACAACTTCCCAGTAATGGTACACGAGTGTATCTTTTTAAAAGAACCTTGAAAAAATTATATGGATTTAACGAAAGTTATTTCATATCAGAAGAAACGGATAGCATCAAATTAATTTGTTTCTTTTTAATGTATATTTACATTTTTTTAAATATGTATATATTTAATAATTTTTAAATATATTTATATGATATTCCTATCAGGTATCGTTACTGCGATTATATTACAATTATATAGAACGTATTATATTACATTACAAATGGTAGCATTTCTCCTCGATTAACTTCATTAAAATGTTTGCATTGTACACGAAATATTGAGTTACATTAAATTAAATTAATGCCATTGTTATGATATTGCATCAACGAGCTATACTTGAAAATTAAATAAACCATATAACTCGATACAAAATAATCATAAAAAATAATGATTAATTAAAAGCATATTTAAGATTAACATCTAATTTAAGAAAGATATTTTATGATTAGCAATGTATAAAAGTGCTTTTAACCTCTGATATTGTTTACTTTATATATTTGAGCTTTCAAATAATTTTATATAATTTTCAACACTGTATTTTTTAAATAGAAATCCTTTGGAACTATATATGTATATATTTCTTTTCCATAAAGCAACCTCAAAAGTCAACTCCTAAAATATTGCACAATACTTAAAAAACACGTTGTATACGGTTCAGCCTGCATATCTTCTACTAATGGATTATTAAATATGATCATGATTGATAAACAAAACAATAACAAAAACTCAGGACACGTATAATATGATTTATTCCTATAAATTATATGTATCGATTTGTTGAAATTTTCAAGTGATTTCCAGCTTACTGGATAATACATTCCAACGACTTATTATCAAAATGCACAAGCAACACAAAATAAAATCTCATAAAAAAATGTCTAAAAACCATCCTAGTAAAATCTCTGTAAAGTCCAATAACCTATCCTTATCGACTTCAAACGTCAACAGCACTGCGTGAGTAATATTAACGAACCTACGAAAATAGATTTAATTATATTTTACTTAATTTTATAATCACTTTTTAATTTTTTTTCGGATGTTCCATCAGGAAGTCAAAATGTATGCTTTCAACGATTTCATTAGCGACACCAAATAAAAATTACAAATCATCTATGACGGTTAAGAAGGCACAATTTAGCACAAAAGCGCCTAAAAATGCGGCAGTGCATTTTGGAAATTTTTATGGTCTTTGGGATGATGTAGGAAAAACATATTGTAATAATCACTTCAATAACCGTCTCATAAAAGAAGAAACAGCGATTAAGAGACCACACCGATTAGAGTTCACCAGGCAGATGGTGAACAAGTAAAAAAATTTTTTCGCTATAAACATAGTAATAAAAAATATTTGTAAATTGTTCCGAAAAAAACTTTTAAACGAGATTCCCCTTTGCCAGATTGGAGAGGGCAACTGACGCGGAAGATTACATGCGACAAGTGTCGGTTCTTCTAAAGAAGACGGTAGAGCCGCCCGACTTTAGATTGAATCAACTTCCATCTAGAAATTCAATTCCTAACGGAAGTCGAAGCTCCTCGGATTATCCACTCTGGTACAAGGAGCCTCATAAGATATCGTTAGTGTTCTCAAATCCTATCGCTCAACTTAAAGCATGATTAGTGTAATTTAGTTACCAAAAATTAACGTGTGTATCGGCAAGAAACTTTAATAAATAATTAGAAATGAAGGGATTAAGAAAATGAAACTTAAATATTAACACCATGGCAGATATATAAACTTATCAAATTCAAATATTGAAATACGATCGAGTGTCACCGAGGATTACCTACCTAATTCATATATCAGTATCTGACTATGCTTTCATTTTTATTTAAAAAAAAGTAAAGTATATTGTTTCCTGTATTTTACTTTCTTCAAGACGATTTAATTTGATTTGGACATTGTTGTGACTAATAAAGATTAATTGAAAAATACATCTTTTATAATTACTATTTCTTTTAACAATAAAATCTATTCTTTTTTTTCTTGAATGATAAAAAAAACAGTAATTAATGTTATAACGGCACATAGATTGAGCATTCAAGTTGTAAACCGCGAGACTTCCCTTTCGGTATTCATCCTGACGCGCTAATTAAGAACCGTAGTCATTAGTTTGCATGTTATACCATAATTAAGCGCTGCCGGACTATTACGAATCCCGTTGCTGGAATAATTAATTAGGTCTAGAAGAATCAGAGATATACACGTGAAAACATAGTTAGTCTAGGTTTTAAGTGACAAACGACCGGAAATTCTCTATGTGCAATCACAGTCGTATTTTTTCGCTTCTCCGATTGTTTCTACATAAAATCTGCGACGTATAATAAGTAAATACATACGACGTATAATAAAATTAATATTTCTAGTAAAAAAAACATAAAAAAATAAATTAATATAATTAGAAAATAGTCTTACGCATCTTGTTTCCGAAAAACGAAGGCTCATATTATCAAAGGACCGACATACGTATTGTTTTCGCTTCAATGAAAATCCAAGGGGAGAATACACGGTAGGGTGGTACTTATCGATTATTCCGTCCACCGGCGTAAAGACGAATTCCATGTATCTTTAACGAAAGCGAACACATCCAACCGCCGAACTGGGGAAGCCAGAATCGCGCGTTCAGAAGTGTTTGTTTTATTAAAAGCGAATTCTGTGTGAGTAGACCGAGAAATATGCTAACTTTAACTTTAAATCGCAATCATGTAAAGTATACGGCGATTCAAAGCAATAACACGAGTTTTTAATACCCACTTTTAGTATTTAACCCTGTTATCGTAAATTCTTTTAATCGTCTATATATATAAATATACACCCGCAAAAGGAATTAACATGCAAATGCGAATGTAATGCTATTTGAATATCTGAAAGCTATCATCTTCATATTTATCTGTCTTACACTATTCGTGCGTAGAATCTTGGAAGATAATTTAAATACAAATACGATTATGCAATCGAGTTTATATATAGATATTTAAAAAAGGTTCAAAGATTTTAGCGATATAGCGACATAGCGCTTATAAAGATAGATAAAAATGTGCCTGTGTAGAATCAGTTATCGTACTTACATTTTTTTTTTTTTTTTTTAGATTTATGTCCTTTTCAAACCAAACAAGTAGACATTCTCATATATGTACATAGATTTATTCTTTTTCTGCAAACTATACAGCATGGTCCACGTGATTGAGAATCATGTAAATAAATTAATGACTATTAAGACCATTGAATGATGGAACAACATGAATACGCGTGAATGTAACATATATACCCTTTATAAACGTACGTAAAACTCCTGTAGATATTACTTTGTATGATGTGAAATGGTAATTGCAATTCGAATTTATAGTTTCATTTGCATACACATTTGTCAGCTGTTGCAGTTCAATTTGAATTTAAGCGACAATCGTACATCCTGAAAGCCGTGTGTCCACTCATGAATATATATTAAGTCAGCGCTAACCGACAGCCATTTTTCAATAAATTTATTTAGTTTCCTTCGAAATTTTGAAAATGTTTTTTCTAATGCAGAAATTACTGTCAACGGTGATTCTATGGTAAAAGATCAAGTTTCTGATAAATCTTTAAAGAGTTTAACCTGAACGTGATATGAACTTCGTTCAAAAGTTATTAACATAAAAACTGAGACACTTAAAGATGGACTGATATTTTAATGCATATTCGATAAATCAGAATGTATAATGTCGATATACGATTATTTAATTATTTATAATACAACATAATGCAAATATTAAAAGAAAAAGATTTAATTATTCTCCCAAATTCCTATCACTCACTGAATTTTAATCGTTTATTATTGACATTAATGATATGAGCTACTGTTTTGATGGTCCCTCGATACAATTAATTAATGGACAGTAAGGCAATATACAAAATATTGTAAAAATTATCATTGCATTTTCTTTTAGGCACAACATCTAAAAATTTCAAGTTTGCCATTTCGAAAAATATAAATCTCATTTTAAAATAATAAATTTACATGTAAATGTAACAAGGAAATTAAACAATATATTGCATCTTTCGAACGACGTAATATCGGGACGTACAATGCCGCTTAAATCAGTTTCATAAGTTTAGTTTCATTAGTTGCCCCGTTCAATTTTTATCAACAAAACCATTATTGGCAACCGATTTTAAAGATGTAAAAATTGCACCATTGTCGATGATTATGAATATTTCCGTAATGTTGAATTAAACTGAAAGCGTGGAAATACAGTACAATACAACAACGATATATATTTTCTATACTCGATATATTTTACTATATTCCACGCAATATGAATGATAATTCTTTCCTTTCTTCGAAGTATGGCGCAATTAGCTCTCATCCGATTGATACTTTTGAGGCCTTCCCTAGGTCTTCTTCCATGAGTAGTACATTTCCAAGGGTCGATTAACACGCCAGAATTTATCGTTCACTTGCCGTAACGTTTGTGAGCCACTTAGCACCACAAGCTGCCCGGGTGAAGGCGCGATATAGATACAGAAATTTAATAGCCTATCTGATTCCGACAATTCGGTATCCAAATCTAACGTTAAACGCATTGCCAAATATTTGCTCAAGTGGTCCACTGCAAAAAGAAATAATTCGTTACTGAAAAACAAATTCTCATTTTATAATCTAATGTGTATTTATAATACTTTTAGAGTTTTTTTAAATATACAATTGTTTCTCTTTATATATTTGCGAAATATCTCACCTGTGGCATTTGCTGTTGTTTTTATATAGCGAATACTGTTCTCCTTCAATGCTTTTATTAAAGAATTGTCACCTGCCATCTCTGTAGGATGTGGTTTGAAGACAAGTTCAATTTCGTTAAGCATCAAAGGTTCACTGGGACCTTCACCTTCCGTGTCAACCATGGAATCGCCGCCGCCAGTCTCAGCCTCCGCGCTAGAGGAATCATTCTCGGAATTTTGAAGGCTTTTTTGCCTTTTTGACGGTTTTGGGATTTGATTCGCGGGATTTGGTGACGGTGTGGTAGAGTTTCTAGATGTCGTTCCTAAATAAACACATATGTAAAAATAACTAATATAATAAAAAAATTATAGAATTATTTCAGGTTGATACAATCTCAGTAGAAACTGTCAAGCTATTTATATATTGAGCAATAATAAAGTTGACACTTTGAGAACTAGTCATACCTCCACTATTCAAAGGTCCCGTTGCACTCTGAGAGGAATCACTTTGATTCGCCATATTCGTAGACGGATTTGGTGTTGTAGGTGCGCTAATATTTGGTGTATTGTTGTAAGACGTTGCGTTGCTCGCATTCTCAGATTCGTTGGCATTTTTTCTGGAACGTTGCGGACGATTTTGACTTTGTAGCTTAATGCCCTCCGTAATAGAGTTAACGAGCGCGGCCTGCGAATGCGACTTATTCAGTTTAGCCAAAACTCGTTCCTGATGAGCTTCATACTCGTCTCTGCTCGGATAGATTTTTGAGATTAGCAGATCAAAGTTTGGATCCGGTCTGAGAGATCTTTTGGAAACCAATTTCTTCCTGCACGTAGGACATTCCTGTAAGTAACATTGCAAATGTATAAAAATAGTTCGTCATGGGCGCACAAACAAATGCCTCGTGTTCCAATATGAAATGAATGGAATGTAATTCTAGAAAAACAGTATTAATTTCCATAAGAAATACTTAACTGCGTTATGTAATGTCACGACCATAAGACTCTTGCAACAAATATAATTTCAACAAGTAACAAGAACTTTGAGATTACAATGTGGTTGACAATGTATAAGTTAACGTTATATCACTCTTTAATAACCAATATCATCATCAGCAATGCATAAGAGTTAAATCAAAATAATCTCACGTTCTCCGGTGAGAAATGTGGTATAATTTTGTTACTGCACATATAGTGACATATATGACTACGTTTACGTGAATTGAGTAGTACCGGGCGAATGACACACGCACGTTGCGTTGTTTATATCATGTACGAAAAGATTTTCGGGCAAATGCAAATTGCGCATCTCGTGGGAAAATGTGGAGCGGTATTATCCGCAGCGTTGTGTAAATATATGTTCGCCGCTTACGTCGAAGCACGTACTTTGTTACCGCTCCGTAAAGCCGTGATAATACAGTCGGAGCAAAAACGGTGGAGGCACTCCTTGGTGGTCATGGTCTTCTTCAGCATGTCCAGGCAAATGGGGCACATGAGCTCGCTGTGCAGACTCCGCGGACTGACCGCGATCTCCGTGCTGTCGGTGATCGCGTCCTGCGGGGTGCGGTGCAGCTCGTAGAGCGACAATTCCCATGTTTTGTTGAGGCCGACCTGTTCCGCGGACGCCATCTTGGGATTACACACGGCGCATACGACCCATACACGAGAGACGTGGTGTCAGTACCAAACAATCCGGACTGTACGCCGCGCACCGCGACTCTCGCTTCGCTCACCGTATCCAGTACTTAACTGGTACTGTACGCTTAAAACGGAGAAACACGCTCCATCACTTTGCCGCGCACGCGCATGTGCGCAGCGACACACGTGATTACCTCGACCATACTTGTAGCGGAGAGAAGCGTGCCCCGCGTTTTGAATGGAACCCGTCCACTGGCGTCTCTATGTGCACAAACGTTAAACTACGTAGCCGGTGTCTACGAATATACCGACGAGATATTGTTACACTTCGTCGGTGATAAATATTTCTAATAAGTAACAACACGCTATAGATTTGTTTTTTTGTTATTGCACTGAAGTGCATTCAAACTTCCCTTTCAGCTTTCACCAAATTTCAAAGAAATAAGTTTTTCTTGAATCAAGTACAGAGAGTGTATATACAGTAGATAATACACACCCAATAATATTCCATTTTAATAATTAAATTAAATTTTTTTTATTATAAAAAATTGCAATTATATTAACCGGTCGAAAAATATATATACAATAAATATAAATGTTCATATATGTTTCGTATCTCTATAATCTCTGTCCATATATCTAGTAGAAAAATAATAAAAAGAATAATTGAAACATAAAGTAATAAAATTGCGATTTGATTATGTACAATATTCTATATCCCTAATAGCACATGTAGATTATGAGAATGTTCGGAGGATACCGCAAAGTAAAGAATATATTATAGGGATAATGTTCTCAGTAAATTAGGTATTATTCTCAGTACTTTCATTATTATACTGTTAAGGATATAATCATATATAATCATATTTTATATGCGATTATTACATTTATATATGATTATATGTAGGCAATTTTTTCTCATTTTCTCAAACTTCATTTTTTATTTAAAAAAAAAACAATGCAAAAATTATCCTTTTAATTTTAAATTTTTCTTATTATTTTTCTTTGTATGTACGAACAGAGATTATACAAGAGAAGGAAGGTCGTATAATTATATATGAAAGACTGTTTTCCAGGGATAAATATTCTAACAATATTCCTGATCGCAATAAGATGATATACAAAGTAGCTGCTAATAACTGTATCGCTTCTTGTGGGCAGCGGGTGAAACTGAATAAGAAAAGTCTTTCACCGTTTCGCGATTTTCTTAATAATTAATAAGAAATTAATTAACAAGTGAATTATATAATTAGAAAGTTTATATAATTAGAAAGTTTGCTGTAAGTCATTCTGTTGATCGAATTAAATCGATAAAGTTAATCAGAGTCAAAATAATCTTTACTCGTAATAAATCTAAAACAAGCTTTTTAGCTTACTCGTTTCTATTATAATAAGATTAATACCCTCACTCCATTTTTTTTAGAATCATGTAGGTCGTAGGAAGGCAAGACCAAGAATAGAAAGACGACTGTCCCACCAACAATTTATGTAAGTAAACATTCAAGTCGCATTTACCTCATTCAGCAACGCAAAAAATTCTGCTTGTTTCGATGAATAATTATTATGCGTAGCAGCTGTTAAATTATTAGAATTCAAATTAAGTTGTACAAGTTCTAATTGTTCTGAAAATTTTGAATATTATTAATTTTGGTGTTCACAAATGACATTAATAAAACGATGGTGTGTAAGAAAAGTCATTATCTAAACAAGACTAAATAAATTAAAGTTTGCTAAATAAAAAAAAAAGTTAATAATAAGCGTATGAATTACATTATCAAGAGACACACGGTAGTGTCTCACGCCAAGCGAGTTACTATTTACTCCACATTATATTGGCATTTAACATAGCTATATATTTCATAAAGAAGCCGCAGTATTTTTCTCTCTGTATAAATTCTTTTGTATGCTCTTCGTATCTCCTTTCATCCTCTTTCATATCGCCATTCTACGACTTTCCGCGTGGAACGTCTAAGAAAGTATATATAAACAACTCTAAAATAATACATTTGGTATAAGAGCTAAATTTAGTACTTTAGGAAAAAAATGATTGTCTGTAGGATAATGGCTCATGCGTGGGCATAATATATGCATAACCACGGTATAAATAATATAACGGTATATAATTCCATGTAAGCTGGGCGTAGGCTTGACCATTACTATGCACTATAGATGGATCTTCTCTTCGAGAGCGACTGAAGTAGGATCCATTCGCGAGCAGATCTAACGCGGCAAACTGGACCGACAAGACCCTCGCCTTTTTCTATTGACCCTAACTGTAAGAGATTGTAATTGCAGCTGTCCATGCAAGAGGGAGGGTTTCATCGCTTATTTCTGATATCCCATTTCCATTCCGCGCGTTTTCCATCGTAAAAGCAGTTCTTATCATTCAGCGTCTAATTCTTTAACGATGACAAAGATGTGAATTATATTTCATGTAATTACATCCAATATTATCAAAAATATTCCTGTTAATCTGTTTTATTTTTTGTAATAATACTATAACCTGTTAAAATATTAAATTGAAATTAAAAGATCGAAAAAGCGGCAAATATTAAGAAAAAATAATAATTTGATATAGAAATAGAAAGAAGTTTTTTTTAATAATATACAAAGAATCTCGTTGCTAATTTAGAGAAATTATTCGTCAGCTAATTGTGATATTTAATTACGACTTACTGATTGCAAAAAAATTTTCTCTCTTACATTGATTTGTCACGCGCTGTCTCTCATGATTGTTAATTAATTTTATATACTGAAAAATATGGAAGATAACGGTATTAGAAAATAACGGTAAGCATAGTTTCGATGATTTCGGATTGATCACTGCTGAACAAGAATTTGTCTCGTTACGATTAAACCATTTTTATAACGTTATTGAATACCGCGTTTTAATCGAAAGAAAATAAATAAATAATTAGCTACTTGAATTTTATTTTTGAATTGCTTTATCGTGCTTACAATCAATGTTCCTTCATGTTATGATTGTAGGTCGTGCCATCGCCGATTACAGGACAACGTCTCGTCCTACTTAACGGCGATGTCGCTCCGACAACTTTTTAAATCAGCTTAATTAGTTGCCTACGGCAGAATGCGACATATCGGTCGTTCTCCTTCCGGATATTCCGTGCTCGTGACCGTTTGATAATATATATATTTCACAGGGAGCTTCGTTAAATATATATTTTCTTTAACTTATATAATCTCTGTCTGTATAAAGGATAAAAGAAATAATAAAAAGAATAATTTTGAAAAATAATTAGAAAAATAACTTTTGCGTCGTTTTAATTACAAAAAGTAAAATTGCCGATTAGAGAGAGATTATACAATACTCTATATATAATTATATATAATACTATTTTGTATAAAATTATTACATTTATACATATAATTATATATGGATAACTTTGTCTCATTAACTCAAATTTCACTTTTTATTCAAAAAAACCAGTGCGAAAATCATCCTTTTAATTATTTTTTAATTCCTATTATTTTTTCCTGTATATACGAACAGAAATTATACAAAAAAATATATATTTTATATACAATTATATATGTATATTTATATGTTTTTATATGAGAAAAATTTTTTATCGTGTATGTATAACGTACTCTGCTCGTAGGACGTCTTTTGATATATCTGTATACATCGTCACGCTCCTCGCGAGATGATATGATAGCGAGTAAATGTAAAATCAGAGATGGTAGCTCATATGACGCGTAATTTACACCGCGGAATATAACTTTCGCTTGAAATCTGTAATACGGCGTAACGCAGCATCAGGTGACTTAGGCAAGATAAGATAATTAATAATAATACACTCGACCTCTCACGCATATACGTCTTCGATTTTCTTCGGTAAAGAAGTGTTACGAACAAACTTATAATATTCAGATATTCGTGTAGTAATTTGAAAAATTAGCAATAAGTCGAGAAATTGTGTCTCTTCTTTTTTCGTCTCGTATCTTTTTCTTTGCAAATTTTTCAATATGATTCAATTACATTTAATATACCGTATATATACAAAATATTTCCCGTTACATTTCATTAACCTGCGGTTCTCGGCATACTAAAAAAGAAATAAAATAAAAAAACATGAAAAACAGAAACTGGATTATAGCCGCGACAAGTTTTCCGGTAGTCAGTTTTCCCGCGGAAGAATATCTTACGTAATATAGGCGACCGCAGTCTCGTATATACGCTGTCCAGAAAGGTATCGTGATACAAAACCGCGTTCGCATGGATATTACAGGCATTACATACGTTTTACATTCCTTTTTTGATCGTCTGCTTCTCTCACGGAATTACGGTTCTGTTTTACGTAAGATCATACGGCCGCGATGCTAGATAGCTACGTGCATAAATTAATCCTTTGTTATGCACAGTATAATTTCAAGGCGAAACGTTGCATCTGTAGTTTCTGGATCGCCTTGTATTTGCGGTTTCTCTATCGCGGATGCAAAAAGCTGTTCGAAAAATTATGAAGGAGAGAGAGAAGAGAGATACACTGCAAATCCAAGTGTGTTATTTCAGCTGAAAGCTCGATCTTCTCACACATTTCTTGCCGTTTTAAATCACGTCATTTAACACGATTGAATGTATTAACTTTTAATTTAATACGATAAAACATGTTAAGTAAACATAATTAAACATAAAAAAACATGTAAAAGTAGAGATTCAGTTTAATGTGTGATTTTTAGACGTTTATACGTGTAAAAATGACACACTTAGATTTGCAGCGTAGATATTAGATGATAGATTTTATGTTTCGCTAACAGGCCTTTCTACTCAACTGCTTATTGTTTCCAGATTTTTGCGGACTGAATTTCACTAAGCAGCGTTTTTATTGCTTCCTCCGATATGCGTGAAGATAAACGACAGCCGCGTGTTTGTCGGTCACAAATTAAAATTGCTTTATATACTTTTTCCCGAGAAAAGCTGCTAAAGAACGAATCAGCATGTTCCTCAAAAGACATAAATAAAATTCGTAACGATTTACTTGGCTGAACTTCGTTCCTCTCCGCGGCGATCAGTTCTGTTGGACGTCGATAATTATCATTTCTTTCATCTTACTTCCCCGTTCCCGACATTGCACAAGCATCCGGAAGTAGCGGCGTTCTTGCCGCTTGATACATGGTTACATGTATCCGCTCAACCCAGGTCAAGCGTGAATCTAACCCACTGGTATTACTGCCGGATCT